AGGTGCATTATTCTTGTGAATGGCTTTCTTATTGGGCGTTTTCTTCTCTCGCAGAGTGATCTGTGGTCCTGCGGTATCACGGCTATTGAAATGGCTGAAGGAGCGCCCCGTGAGTGCCTGTTTCTCTTATCATTTATGTTTTTTCTTGATCTTTTAATCCTCTTGAATCTTTAACTTTTTTGCAATGCTTCTTTCAGCTCTTTGCGACATGCACCCCATGCGTGCACTCTTCCTCATTCCAAGAAATCCTCCTCCTCGGCTGAAATCTAAAAAATGGTGAGCACCACCCGTAAAGGACGTTTTTACTGTTTATGTATCTGTCCTATATAATCACCACGCTACCCTGCAAAATCCTGACACATTTACTCTGAGATATTTTATGCACAGATTTCCTTCTGTCCTCTTTATGTGCATTTTGTTTTATGTCAGACTTCAGCCCAGGCAGCTACAGAGACTTAAATCTAAGAGCTCAGCTTTCCCTTAGTGCTCTGCTGCTGACTCGAACATCTGTGGTACACCTGCTCTGGCAGGCTCAGGCTCTCCTGGCACTCGCACAAACACACTGGATCGCTGCTCTGGACTGCACTGCAGAAACATCTCAGAGCTCGAACGCTCTAATGAACTGGCTCTCGTTTTACATTTGCCTTCAAACAGAAATCGCTGTTTTATTTTATACTCCACCCCTGTTTCATAAAATATCGGTTTGATTTGCTGCTGTCGCAAGTGAATCTGACGGTGCTTGGCAGCAGGTGCAGTTGTGATAATAGTTTCACTCCAGCGTGTCCCGTTTTTCAGTTTTCGTGGAGTATATGCTTGTCTGTGTGCATCAACCTCAGTTTTTGTTGCGCTGGCGAGTGTCTGGTGAAGGGGAGGGAGCGCTGTTAGGAGTCGTGGGGCGTTTGCAAAAATGTCTGTTTCACTTTCTCGTTGCATGGCTGAAATACTTCTCTGTTTTCGATTCGCTCTCTCAGCCTTGTGTTGTTTCTCTCCCCCAACTCGCTCACAGGTCCAAAAAGTTCTTCAGTTTCATCGAGAGCTGCCTCGTGAAGAATTACACGCAGCGCCCACCAACAGAGCAGCTGCTGAAGCACCCCTTCATCCGAGACCAGCCCAACGAGCGGCAGGTCCGCATACAGCTCAAAGACCACATCGACCGGACGAAGAAAAAGAGGGGCGAGAAAGGTGCGTGTGCTTGTCGATTATCATGAAAGGCTGGAAAAGTGTAGGCGTAAGCTGTGAGTGACTCCTGGTTTTTGTCCATGTGCAGATGAGACGGAATATGAGTACAGTGGCAGTGAGGAGGAGGAAGAGGATCCTCCTGAGCAAGAAGGAGAGCCCAGGTATGTTCTACACCTGTAGCATTTCCCTGAAAGGAAACAAGTGCACCTGC